AATGCCACTCCTCTTAGAATTGGGCTTTAAGTAAAGGTTAAGCTTACATTGCACAAGGTGATGGTATATTTGACATTCTGCACCACGCATTACTCGAGTATGAGGAAATCGCGTACACTTCTCTGGCGCACTAAGACGCAATCAATGAGGTGCGAGAAACAATGCGATCAGAATGATCTGTCGACAAATTTTCAAGTTTTGAGGCGCTAAAGTTTTAATTATGAGACGAATCCTTGGAAGGTGACTTTCGGTTTTGAGTTTACTTGACAATAGATTGTAGCTGACACCATATTCTTTAAGGCTGCCTTTTTCATGAAGACGTACTTCACTGAGAGCAGCAGTGTTGCTGTTAAGTCGTAACACTTTATAGTGAATTAAAGCAGAATGACACTCAGGACATCCACTATCCACAGTATCATATATGGTTTGGATGTTCTAGTATGCAAATATCGGAAATTATTGGAACATACCTTTGGAAAGTGTTGGAACATACCTTTGGAAACAGGGTATGCCTTTGTCTCTTTTGTTTTGTTTAATCGCATCAGCAAATGCCTATTGGCCGCAGTTAACCGGCCAAATGAAGGGTGAATGGGCTTTGGTTCAGCCATTTTTTTGGGCCTCCGCATAAAGCAAGCAATGCTGTCCTTAAAAAAGGCTGCTTGGTCATTCAGGTTACCGAATAAATTACCATCGCCAGGGTCGTTCTCAAGTGACCAGTGTCCTGAACCGCCTGCATGAGGGTTAGATCTGGAGCTTTCGGTGTACTTTATCCTCTATCGTTTCGTCTCTCCCCTGTCGCTAAGACTTTGAAAATTGTAGTTTTTCTTTTTTTCGAGCCTGCGCAATGAATTTTTTAGATGAGACACAGTGTGAACGGAACTGGTCCCACTTTTCACTTCGAAGGTTCATTTGCGATGGTCGAACGAGCTTGGAGGCAACAGCGAAGTGTTCTGGACGTAGGTTTAATTAGAGTATCCTTCTCGGAGATGGATGGTCTTACAGATCTAAACAAGCTCTATCTGCCCGATTTGGGATCAGAGTTGTTCTCCTAGGATGTTCGCCCGAAGACTAACGAATCTGTCCTGGCCGTGAACATAATTTGTTTGAGCCTTCAGTTGAAACTTGTCTGAGTGTCCTTAGAGAAGACCACTGAGCATTACACTGGATAGATTTGTCAATGATGCCAAAGATTTTGCAACCAATTTATATATTGTGACATCACCTCAACTTTTTTTTAACGTATCATACACAACGTAATGATACGATGATTCGTACCATTATGAATCGAGGAAGTTTGGAGAGCTTTTCCGTGTAGTGCTGGATGCAACAGCATTGTTTTATATTACTGCTTTTGCAGGCTTCTGTCAAACAGTGGAGCTCATGCAAACTTCAGACTGCAACCATATGCTACTCGTAAGTTGAACATATGTTATTGTAACAGTTCTGTAAAAACCTGCGCAGGTATGTAATAGTCAATATTTTATAATATTACAAATTCGTTTATATATTCAAGTTTTACTCCTGTCACATGGATATTCGAACTGTTCTGTGTATAAAATCACCTCTGTGAGTAATTGATATGGAGAAAATACTAAATATCCTGTTCCTAACAACCGAACGGAACATATGACATAAAATGAAACACTGCATAAATTGCTAAGTTTGATTAAAATAGAAAAGTCAAACATTGAAGTGAATAATAGTTTGTTAGTAATCTTAGGAATGATTAAAATTTATCGTATCTTACTGATGTTAGGCATCTACCTTCAGAGGTATGACTCAATACTGTTATTTGATTAGAGAATACGACAGTAACAGCAATAGAAGCAACTAACACGATCGTTTAAATTTCTTGCTTCGATAAAAGTCATGTATTTTCACTTTTTTCCATTAATGTCATCGATGTATCAACAACTAATTGAAACAGAGATGCTCGGTAAATTTTAAATCATGATTTGTTGATAAGTGGTATCAATAAGCCGGAAGAATTCTTACCAGAATTTCAAGAATTCATAGTATGGCCGAAAGAAACAAAAATGAATTCTTGGCATGGCTGAAAAAGATTATCAATGAGCAAATTTTTTTTCAATGTAGTCACCAAAAATGGATATGCAAACTATTCAAACTTCATACCACCATGTCCTGCTTTGAAATCGTTAAAAAAACACTTCAATAAGAGCTCTTTACAGATCTGCAAGCAAATGCATCCAGTATGACAAAATCCATACAAAATGGAATTCAGTATTATCGTTTATTGTTGACATCAAAATACGAGAATACTTAGCGGTGTCGGAAAAACTAATTTGTCGAGTTCGCTTTTCAGCAATATAGGTTTATTCGGCATGTGATACTATTCTTGTACAATATTATTAGTTAACAACAAAAAATATATAAAATGTATAGTACAACGATAAATTGGTAATACAGTAAGTAAGCAATATGATCAATTAACAAATTCCTTGTTGTTTACCTTTAATAATAGTTGACTGTCGTTTTGTTGATAGGTTGCGTAATGGTTGAGATATAAGAATTCGTCCTTCGTTGAACTGGAGATATGTTGCAGAAAATATTTTTAGCGAAAAGAAGGAATACTGTTGTCTGTTGTTCAATGATAGCAGATATGTGAAGAGGATACTGTACATAGTCTGCTTGACTGTAAAAACTGACTGTGTACGATTTTTCCGTATATATACATATATATATATACCTAGGATAGGGGAACAACTTTTGTATAATTAAGCAGGATTATCCTAGAGGTATAACTGCCCATAATATGGTCCATTATGCAGCCACGAATATGTACTGAAATGTCTTTGTGATATTCCCACTATTGTTAGCTTGTATCCTCCTCGCTCTCTTTATTTCACTTAGAGGATTCCATGATCCTATCTGGTGGATATCGTAGAAATTCTATTTGGATGTAACTTTAATTTCGGTAATCTGACAGCATTAGCTGAAAACTTTCGTGTAACTAACACAGTACGAACTACCCTGAATATTATTCAGTTAGCTCAACGATAGTTGCCAAGGAGCTGAGCCATACCAAAACTAAACCAAGAATTCGGAAGGTGAAACAAAGAATTAAAGAAAATCAAAACTAACGGCAATTTCAAAATCAAGTCAGTAGAAGAAGTATGGAATTGGATTTGAAAAAATTTTGGCGTTATTTTAATCTTAATTTCTCATCCATAATAAGGATACATGATAAGTTCTATTGTCTTAATTAATTGGTTTAACTCGGAGAATAATATGCATTGTTTACACAACTCTGTAGGAGTTTCCAGAACTCCTGTATTTCAGAGGATCAGAATGATTTTCCGAAAGTCGTTTATTTACAAGTAACTTCCTTTGTGTAGTTATGCTACCTCCAAGAGAAGCTCAAATCAATAAATATTGCTAAGATTGGTCATTCTTTTTTTTTACTCAAAGATATGGCAATATCCACGGGAAAGAAATATCAAAAAAATCGATTCAATCTGGATTAATTTCAGCATTTAATTTAATTTAATCGAAGATAATTTAACCGACTTTCCGGAAATCTAATTAGCAACTAAATGAATGTAAAAACTAATATTGGTGAAACTTCCAAACCGTTGATGCGTAAGATAAGGTTAGCATACATTTCTAGCAAAAGATTCATTCTTCAACGATAATATTGGTTTAATCTGGTTCAACTCAAATGAACTTAATTAAGTTAAGGTTTCTAATTTAAATAAGATAACCCAACTTAATTTGATTTAATTTGCAGCTTTCATTTCCGTCCCTATAAGGGGACGGTTCACGTTTTACCAAGCTGTGCTCCACGCCCCATGCTCTAGCGAATTATAGCTCGCACTGTGATTACGTATACCCTAGCGTCGGGAAACCGGAAAACCTTTTATTTCCACTCTTAAAAACCAGTTACCTGTTACACTATAACGTCCAGATTAAACTGCAGCTGAAGAACACTGTAAATGTTCCTCTTCCCTTCTGTCTTGCAAACATATATTTAGCCTTTTTTGCGCTAACTTTTCCGGCGTGTATGTCTGCAAAGCGGCCATACTTTTGTTTTTACATCTTCTTCGTCTGTTATCAGTCCCGTATGCTCTGAAATATCATAGTTTATGATACGTATCTTCCCTTCACGTTCGTCATGGAAGGCCAAGTCTAGGAAACGTTTTCATATTTAAAATTTTGTTATTGTTTGATGTCATAGCATTTTCTTCATGGCGTCTTTGTACGACATCAAAAATAGTTCATTAACATAGTTTAGTTTTAACCGAAATATTTGCTTTGTATTGGTCCATTCATGAGTGTGATAGGTCGATTTAATCAGAAATCGGTTTCGTTTATCGTTTAATCAAAACCAGAAATGTTTCGTGCTATTGATCCGTCCGAAAGTGTATTCTTTCGGTCGGGAATTCATTTCATTTATGGCATTTTAAAGTAAAAGTACTTTCAGTAATCTCATTTTTTTTTTCATCATATTTACATCTGTGGATAGGTTGAGTAATTTGGTAAACTGAAATTTTTTCTGAAAATGCAAATTGGAAATTTGGATGCATTATGCAATAGTAATATGAAACGAAGTTACAGTCTGCCGCAGCTTCATGCTGCTATATACGTCAAAGAACACAGGTAACTTTCCTTTCTCAATTCCTTTCAAATTTTTTTTTGGTAAAATCTTCTGAAGCCATCAAAAATCTGACGAGTTGATGTCAGGAATACTACCACTAGTATTTGGGCAGTTATGTTTTTTACATTTAATGTCAGAACGACCCAAGCAGCATCCGTTAGCGTAAGCCTGATTACGCAGTTGTTATATAACCGCGTGTCTCTAACATGACTGCTCATCTTCAAAGAGAGAAGAGTTAGACGAATTATGAGACTGTATTCATACTCGTTGCATTTCTTTCGGCAGTTGTGTATCACAAGTCGTTTGGCGCATTAGAAGCATCCATTTCATCGTTTTCGCGCGATAGGCTTGATCAAGTAGATTAAAAGGTTCTGTTGGAACTGAAGGCATATCATAGGTTTATGGTAACTAAGAATGTGCTTAGAGATTATGTCATTTCAGCAGTCTTACTTTAACCTTTAGTGAATGATCTTGATGGAATGATCCCGAAAAGTTTACTTGATCTGTCGAAATGTTTCTTGTACACAAGGTATCATTTGTTGCAAAGCAAACTTAGTTTTAACGAAGTTTGTCTCTTTTAGAATATTTTGGTCGAGTAGACCCATGAGTTTTATGATTTTTTAGCCTTGAAAGCGCTTTTGGTTTCCATTTTCCAGGCCTGAAGTAAATTACCAGAACCAGTTATCAAGATGCAGACAGCGAACAACTGCAAAACAAGAATACAGTGGACGTTACAGTTTGAACAAAACAAAATTTGGTGAATAATCGTTTTAGCAGTGCAGTTTATATCTCGCAAGTTTAAATATTAAGTTTTATCTTTTCGTTTCAGTTCTCTCATTATAATGAAGGCTGTGTCATTTCTGTTCCAGGTGGAAAGTATTATAATGAAAGCATTCAAGACCGTGTAAGGATGCGAAATCCATCAGTTCGCGGACAAATAGAACGATTCCCACGTTATGAAAACTATACCGTGGTAAGCGTCTAACTTCAATTATAATATCATTATTTGTCCAGAGTGATTTGTTTCAGTTGATTACTTTTTATTCTGCATTGACGAATAACAGGAATTAAATATTCCCAAAACTTCGCCTACATGAGTTCTTAAAAAGGATACCGACCATCACCTTGTTCCCTTATTCTCATCATTTATTTGAGTTGTTAACTCTGGTTAGCATTTGCTTTGTTGTCTTTATTACAGATATGGGAACACATTTTGGTTTAATTCGACGTTTTCGTCCCCTATTACCATTCCAATACCATGAAGAAACTGGAAGCGAATTTAGGGAGGGAACTATGTCATTTTCGCAGTCATTCGTAAATTCGTAAAATGAATATCAAATATTATATTAAAAAAAGTGATCTTTTCGTTTCTCGTATTATGGGAAATCCAGCGGTGAATACTGATTTTAGGGATTAAAATTGATAACTAAGTTATGTCGGGAAACATAAAATTGGGAGTAAATCGATAAATGAGACTTATAAGAAATTGCTGAATTTCCATGTGAAAAACTTCGAAAGATTTTAGAAATAGTACGATGACTAACAACCATTCTGATACTGTCTTGTTTAAAAGAATATAGCTTATTGTCGTAAATCTTGATTGTTCTTTTGAAGGAAGTATGACTGTTTTGTAGTATGATGAAGTTTATCGATGCCTATCACCGGAACCAAATCAACCGTTGGCCGATACTGTGGTGCAGCCGTCAGCACCTAGAGCAACTGCTTTGATGCGCTGTGAATTAGGTAGATCAGCTAATGACCGGGATCAATATCACTGCAGCTTACATCGCTTACTTCGGGTCAGCATTACGGCCAAATTAAATCGATTGTGCGAAAAGGCAGCATTTGGAAGCGTGGGGAAATCATCACAGCAAGTACTTTTTCTAATCTGCAGTTATATTTCATAGCCGCTAATGGCCGCCAATGGAAGCTTTTAAATACTATTTGTATGTAACTAAATTGATTTAACATATTATTATAAGTCTTCAAGATCTTGGAAGGTAAAAAATCAGTCTATGGCCATATAAATCTTTGTTTTTAAGGTACTTCTGATTAATCGCAGAAACGAACGTTTCAAATGGAGTGATGTGTTATGGCTGCAGTTGCAAGTGGTAGTTGCTGGCAGGTTAAAGTTTATTTGCTTTAGATGCAAGTGACAAAATTTCTTAAATTGTGCGTTTTAAACAACCATCTCATCAACTTTACTTTCAGAAAGATGAAATCACCAAGTGATCAGATTAAATCAACTCGTGAACATGATATGTATCTGATAACCGAGCGTGAAAAACAAAAAGTGGTCCTGGAAGAGATTCGAAATTTTCGTTTAAACGATAGAAATGAGATAACGTGTTCGTCACCCATATCACTATCCACAGAGATCTCAAATCAGAGATCACTGAAGGAGGAACTGAAAACAGTCAAGGGTATGTTGGAACGTTATGAAAATTTCGTGACATTGTACCCTAACATGAATAGCATGGAGCGGTCAACAAATATGGATGAATTGGTCAAAACTCGGATTCAGATTCTTTACGCTTGGTATAATATTACGATTGATTTGTATGCCAGGATAAGAGAGGTAAGTTTCCAAGTGATCAATGATTAGAAGAGCCATTTACCGCAGCATGTTTTTGGAGCTCTCTGTCGGACGAAGCTGCACATAAAAGTCTATGGTGTTGGCCATTAAACCACTCGTTTGTGAAATTTAATAGTGATAATGGGAATGATTCGTTTTCATTAAATCCGTAGAGGTAAGTATAATTGCAGGTCGGTTTGATTCTGGGCATGTATAAAGATCGTAGTTCCACTCCGTGCATTTCACTTTCTCCGAATGTTACACCAAAAGATGGCGTTTCCGATGATCATTCAATTACAGGACTTTCATGGCCATCATTAGATAGTCCCGTGAATACAGATGAATTTTTCACATCATCGCGGAATGTTTGTTTCTCTTTTATGAAGTGAACTTATTTCTGCAAGATATCGAAAAACAAGATATATATTCATTAAATGACGACTAGAGCATCCTTGTCTGTTAGTGGATGTGATGCATCAGTGTATGCCATCTTATTGAAAAAAGCCAACAAAAATTTCGGGTTTTTCCATTTTCTTTCGGTCAAGTTGCCAAAAACTAACTGGCAGTTCAAATTTTGGATACTTGAAAAATCTTAGTTATGCTTATTTTTTCACTTAGTTTTTGCTTATTTGCACAACACATCATTCGTTCATTTCAAATTCTAATGTCATTTAAGTTAAACGAACCAAGTGACGCTTCAAGTTCACAAAATATATTGCTTACACCTCATCCAAATATGATTGCGTCAGCAGACTTACCTACGTTGCTGGAACAACCATGCAATATATATACCGCTTTCGTTTGTGAGTTAAAACAGATTCCCATACTTTGAATTGGATTTTTAATTTCTAGATAAGGCTTATTAAAGAATGAATAAAGTGATATATATGAAGGGATGAATAAAATAACATATTTTTTTAATTGTTGACTATCTAATTTTTATGAATTTTTAGCACGTACTTTGCGACGTAAAGGTATGCGGAAAGTTTTGCAACGTTTGGATAGCGCTTGTTTTACAACCATAAGAAAGGCTATTGCAATGTTAGAGAAATCACCAATTACTTATGCAGAAGTCGTGGAAAGGGGAAACAAGCAGCGGTCCATGGATTATCCTATGGTATACTCATCTATTGTTGTAGATTATCCTGTTTTTATACTTTTTGTTTCCGAGATTTTTTTCTGAACAAGACGGTTTCAGTTTCCATGGTTTTGCAGGCGTCATCCCCTCAGTGTTACATCACTGATTGCTTGAAACTTGATGACGTAAGTTTTTAGATTGACAGTGATTAAAAAACAGTGAACTTCTATTCTATTGCATTTCGCAGCAAATTTTACTTAGATAACTTCTACATCCTTCACTGAATGTTTCAAGCATAATAACTTATCCGATTTGGTAACTGTAATATCTTTCCAAAAAAAAAATTCACACAAGATTTTCCGAAACTGCTTTGAATGATTAGATCGATTACGTATAGCATCTCACGGCATGAATTCGTTAGGAATCAGAATGACTGTAGTATATTTAAATCTGCTTCTTGAAATAATCAGTTGCCAGAGTACGATCAGAATCTCTAGTACAGTTCAGCTCTTTTTTTTCAAAATCCACTGGTTATTTTCAGCTTTCGCAGAAGCAGAAGCGAGACTTACCACAGAGTTTGACAAATCATCAAGAATTTATGGCGATGAAATTGCCATCATTCCAGAATTTGTTTCTGTTTTTAGTGCGAGTACCGCTTGATCTCGTTCACGAATGGCTAAAAATGCGTGGATCTGCACAACTCCCATCTGACTTGTTAACCCTGCAAACGGTGTATTTCTCCTAATTGAATACGAAACTGAAGAAACTGAAAGAGTGCGATTTGGACATCCGCATAGGAGATCCAGCGAACTCTATACTATTTGTAGTTCCATGATTCATAGCAAGATGAAGGCAATTTGCTCTGACGTTATTCTTTAGACCTCATATTTAGCCTATTATAGATTGCTGAGATGTTCTTTTCATGGATTTAGTTAATAACACTTTGCTCTTAATTTTTCAGGCAAGAAATATATTTCATAAGTAATCAAACCTAACAATTTTGTTTACCTGTAAAGACTTTGTTAATTATTTTTGCAGTGTTCACTGTACCACTGAATTTAGTGCTAACAGACACATCTGATATAAAGCGTTCTTTTTTCCTCATAACCACTACCTATCGTTTTGTCAGCAGCACTTATTCAAACTGCTATAAAGCACAACTTTAGTAACATGAAAATTTCAGGTTATGGAGGACTGTCATGATTGTATTGAGGCTGCAGTTGCTGTGAAGCACCGATTTGTATCATTGGTGCAGTTGGCTGGTGTAGATAACAAAGTGCTGCTCGGTTATCTGGTACCGTTTGAGGATGAATTGGCCGAGGTTTTTAAGGTATATGCTTGCAAATTTAAAAAAAAAGACAACAATGTTTGGATTTGTTAATGAAATTCTGCCGTTTACCATTTTCCAGGCATCAGGATGAATTTTTATAGAGTTACCTTACATGCATTCGTGACTGGGTACATGGAGAAGTCAGTACTGAAGGAATAGGCGCCGAATGGACTGAACGAGTTATTCAGAACTTGACTTCACAGTGGGCAGTGGCGAGAAGTTTTGCCACAAATGTAATTTCTGGTGAAAGTGAAACAGTGCATAGATTTTGGTTTGTAAATTTTTGTTTTCTCTTTTCTAAAAGGTTTTTTCTGCCTTTAAGTTTCCTTTTCTAGCAAATTTGAACTTTTTTGTTTTGCTTGTTGGTAACATCAGCTGAATAGGAATGACAAAATCTGTGTCGTGTTGTTATTCACGGTCAGTCTTGGTAACTGCTATATGTTCAGATTATCCATTTTTTTGTTGGATGTTGACTACAGCTTCCTTTTTCCTAAAATTAATTTCTCTCATGATAGTGTGATTTGTAGTATGATTGCGGGTGATTTGATGCGCAAGATGGTCAATGACTATTTACCAGAAAAAGAAGATCTGATGGATGAATGTAGAAGTACTTTCGAGAATGCATCTACTGATGGTCTTCAAGAATATGACAGTTTGTTACTACGACGGTGAGAACTGGTCTTTCTGAATATTATTTTTTGCGGTTTGTTTAAGCAGTCTTAAGTAGAATGAGTACACTGGATAGTTCGAGACATGACGAGGGGCTTAGTGATAATGTGGTGGAGTGCTTTTCAAGCCGTACTGAGCAATCGTTTTTGTCAGTCAAAAAAGGGTAATAAATAGCTTTGATATTAACAAGATGGTGAATAGTGTCAGTATGGGGAGATGTTGGGTTTAGCTTTGTGTTTTTTATCGTTGTAATATAAGTGAAAATCATCACTGCAGTGGCCACATTGTTTTAGTAACTATTATCCAAACCAGTGTCTTAGCTAGAATTATTGTAAAAATGAATGATGTTACAAAAGATGATGTGTAAAAATACTTAAAAAGAATACAATAAATTGTTCTTGAATGAAAACGTTTCTTTAGGAATGCATCACAAGTATTCATTACGTGTAGGCATTTTAAATCATTGGTCTGTCAAATGAAAGATCGTTCCTTGCGGTCACTTGCATTCGCTCGGATGCTTCTGAGGGATATTGAAATATGTGCCCTCTATAAACTGAAGTCTGCTGACATGCGTAGCTATCTCTCCCAGCTATTTATGTCACATCATTCACTAGTCAGTCACTTTGCATTTTTTATTTCTCTAAACAGTTTACTGTCCCACAGGGGCATTAAGAAAAGAATTTAATTACCAGTATCATGGGTGTCTACATACTTTCAAGTGCTGAATAGTTATTTAGATCATAGTTCGAGTTAGATGTAAACAAAGTATCTTTTGCTTAGAAAATTGAGTTTTTTTTTCAAGTCTGAACGCATCTTCGGGTTCTTTCCTGTTTCTTTTCTACTTTGGATATTTTAATTTACGTAATTTTCAATCGTCCAATGTTTAACATTGTGATTTAGGTCGTCATTTCCAATGATCTAACAAATGTAAACAGTAACTACGTGATGTTTTGTGATCAAAATGCATCGGAAAATATTGATTTTCTCCGAATACTGCTCAACATTACATGTTCGCGCTATCGTGCTGAATTACCGAAAGATATTATGGATTGGTAAATCCAATCATTTGTATTTTTTTTTATGCTTTTTTTTTTCTTTTTTATGCTTTATGCTTTTTTATGTACATTACTCATTTCAGCAATGGTTATTTGTTGATTATTTCACTTCGAACATGCTTTGCTGATTTTTCTCAAGAAATATGGAGCGGGACACGTTTGACGGTTGATCTTGACGCAGATACTGAACTTTCGTTACGTTATTTGCAGGTCAGAATTAATTTTATTGAGCATTACAACTAGTTTTACCAGGCTGAGAAATAATTTACTCCATTTAATACAATAATTTACTAGAATCCTTGGAATCTCTTAAATTTCGGTTTGAATACCAACCAATATTGAATTATGTTTTTCTCCAGTGTGTTCCACGAACCCTTATAAATAGTACTCTCGACGTCTCTTAGTTATCATCAGTTCAGTATTACCTAATCGCCAAATAACATAAATCTTTAGGTGAAGTCTGAGCAGTGCGTCAGTTATACCATTTTACAGTTTTTCTTCCCTTTTCTTGCAAATATTTATTCTAATTAATGAAGACTTTTTGGATTGCTAAAAAAATTTATTCAGTTGTCGAATGATGCATGCTTGGTAGCAGTCAGTGCTCTCTCACTACTGAAAATGAGAGAATTATTTACTCGAAATATGACAACGGGATATGATTTTATGTTTGATGTGTTGGAAGAGCAAGCATCCTGTCATGATATCGTCATTGAAAGCGCAAAACAGCTCAGAGTTAGTCTGAATTTTAATACCGTCCTACAGAATAAAATGTTTTACCAATACTAATAAATTTCCTGATCATGCAGAGCTTTCATCCAAAATGTCTGGAATTTTTCAGGAACTCGCATATAGAGCATGCCAAATGTTATTTGATGAATTTGCTGGTAAAATGGTCAGAGATGTGCTGGATGGACAAGAATTAAGTTCTCTGGATGTTAATGAGTTGGAATCCGTCCGAGCTACACTCATACAAGCGTATAATCTTGCTTTTGAGGTTAGGGTGTTTTTATCGCCATCCTAAAAATTGTATATCTTGCCTCTGCACGATGCAGTTCTGACTTTTTTTTTTCAGTACCATCGAGAATTTTACCGAATATTACCGAAACAGGGTCGTCACTCTTTTGCCTGGCAAACGGTTTGCTGGGCAAGAGACTGGTTGCATTTCGCGTTAAAATTTGTTAATCCAGGTGATGGGACTGTTCCACTGTGGGCGATACAGTCATTTCAATTTTTAATATTGGCAGCATGTCCAGAACTTACCGTAGCATTAACAGAAGAGGAATTTCAGGTTAGACTTTGTTATTCATAGTAGTTTCTTCTTACATTGACTGCCTTTTTATTAACTTATTTGAGAAAATAAATGCTGAACAACCTCTGAAGATACATCTTTTGTTTATTCATTAACGTGCGCTGTAGTCAAATTTATTGTTAGTAGTAGTACAGGCAAAGATATTCCTGAACTATGTTTGGGATACTTCCTTACCAGTTTGAATGACAAAATAGCTAAAAGATGAATAATCAGATTAATAATATGAATGTTTGAATAAATAAGTTAGAAATATTCACTATATTAACAGAGTATGTATATTCTACTCGCTTTTTTCAGACTTTGGTGAAAATCGTGGATGCATGCGTTGCGCACATTGTAGGTAGCAGTATTCCAGGTACTGTTCTTGCTCCTGAACATAATAGTGAAATGGTGTGGATTAGATTTTAATTTTAAACTTCGTGTTATAATGATGGAATTTACATTCGTGAAAGACAACAGAATTCGTCACTTTCCAGATTCTGGAATAGTAAATGGGACTTTTTTCGATTGTGAAGTGGACAGTGCAAGTTCTCGTGGCCATACGAAATCTAAGGCATATTCTGCGACAGATGCCAAAGCTCGTTCTCAAAGAATTTATACGCTGTTACATAATATCGATGAGAAACGTAACAAACATCTGGAGGTGTTTCATGTTCTTATAGTTTTCTAGACTTTTCCTAAACTACTTTGGTTATTTATTTACTATGCTGAATTTTGAAGGCAGACAATAAGATTGGTCGAGTAACAGAAGGTGGTCGAAGGGCTCTGACATTATCAACATATTTTAATCCGAAAAAACGAGCGCCATTTGAATGGCAACGACTAGAAAAAAAGATTGGTGAGAGGAATTTTATGAAATCTCAAAGAGTTTTCTATCTTTAGAGCTTTCTATCGTGTCTTTCTGTCGTGCATCATACTAGGAGGAACTGTACTTACTGGATGATCAGGATAGAATTTTTATATGCTCAGAATTTTATTATGTATTTAGAATCAAGATAGAATTTTTATATGCTTATTATCTCATTGCATTTTGACAGTGTTTTCAGAGGTCAAGATAGAGTCTCACAATTGTCTTAGAAAATTTTTAAAAAACTAATGTATTAACTTTGTGAAGCTTTCTGTCGTGTATTACACTAGGAGAAACTTTGTTTCCTGGATGAGCAAATCATCCTTGATTATTCTTTATAGACTTATGGAGAAACTACACACTAAACAAAGTGTCAGTGTTCTTGCCATATGTACCTTATGTAATTCATGTTTCCTAGGATCTGGAAAGTTTGGTACAGTATATGTGGTCATGAATTTAACTGAAAGTTGTTTGATGGCAATGAAACAAATTCGTATTGTACGAAATGACAGAGCATTGTTGGCTTTGGTTGATGAAGTAGAGAATTTAAGTTTGTTGGACCATCCAAATTTGGTCAAGTATTATGCAGTAGAAGTTCATCGGGTATATTTCAAATCACTATGATTTTTTCTCCATTTCTTGATGAAGACAGTTTTCGAGAACTTGTCAATACTTGCAGGAAGAACTGTTTATTTTTATGGAATACTGTCCCGAAGGGACGCTTGAAGAAGTATGTCGCGAAGGTTTATTGGATATGCGATGCGTTCGGCGATATACACATTTCTTATTAAAAGGAGTCGAATATATTCACATGAAAATGATCATTCATCGAGATATAAAACGTAAAATATTTCTATTGGGATTTGCTATCCTATTATGCCACCTTGAATTATATAGGATGCTTTGTATAAAAATAAATTCTTTTGTATTTTTTAGCTGCAAACATATTTCTTGGAAAGAGAAATGTCTTAAAACTTGGTGATTTCGGAAGTTCAGTGAGGCTAAAGGATGGTACAACGGCTTGCGGTGAAGTAGCTGAATGGGTAGGTACTCCGGCTTATATGGCACCAGAAGTACAGACACTTGGTGGACGTACGGAATTGAATGGTAGAGAGGAACTTGTTGGATATGGTAGAGCAGCTGACATTTGGAGCGTTGGATGTGTTGTTCTACAAATGTGTACCGGCAAGGTCGGTTTTGTTATTAAAAGTCATGTTCTGACTGAAACATTCTGCTAACAGGGCTTGGATTTAACTTCATTTTTGCTACCAATTCACAATGCATTAATTGGTAATAACGGTGCTTGTATTGTCATAAAGCGCAGCTTTTTTCAAAAAGTACGCAAACTCAATAAAATCACTTTGGCAAATTATCGGTACTCCTCTTTCACTTTATCCTAAATTAAAATACGCTGGTATTGTAATCCCTAAAATTGAAATAAAACATAACAGTATAAGGTTTTCAATTCCAGCCTCCATGGCATGAATGCGAACAAGTACTACAAGTTGTTTTTCGTGTTGGTAGTGGTATGAGGCCAACAATACCGCAGAGTGTGCAAGCAGACTTAACGTGTTATTCATTTTTGGACCATTGTTTCCAAGTCGAGCCAAGTAAACGAGCTACAGCTGAACAGCTTCGCAAGGATCCATTTGCTGATATAAATGTCAATATATATTTTATATTTCTCTTTCTAAAATTATTACAAGTTTTTTTTCAAAGTTATTTTAAAACTTTCAAAAGAGAAAGCGATAAAAATGTAATTTCATGTCGCTTCGTTATGATTCAAATATTGGTAGTTTTCGATATCAGATTGCATGGTATTTTGCATTGTTTTTCAATATCCCTTTCTTTCATTTCTGGTTTCTTTTTTTCCTTTCATTTTTTGCGGTTTTTCGAGTTTCAGGTTTATGAAAGTTGTGATTCGAGAAACTGAAGTTGTGATTCGAGAAACTACAGTCATACTATACAGAATGTTTACGCTGTGATTTTGAGGGGATTTTTACGAACACTGCTTTGTAAAATGAATGTGCCAATTTATCTTTTTTATATCTTGCATTCTGAAATACTTTGTATTACTTATGTCATTTTAAAAATTCATAAACCATACGAGAATTGGTCTGTGAATAACCTGTAGAGTTGAAAATTTATGAAATCGCCGCTGTTTTATACGGTGTGGTGCGTTTACCAGTTATTATACGCTTCATACTTTGTTTTTCCGTACTTGGATCTTACATATAATTCTTTGGATAAAGCTGATAGGCTGAGAACGAATCCTGATCTCCTAATCTTGGATGTAAATTTGAATAGTATATTCGTGTATTCGTTGTGCTTGGATAGGCTCGTCACTCTAATAAAATTTTTCAGTCGATAAATTTGATAACTAGATTTCCGGTAAAATATTAAGGTTTGTTGCTTTGAAAACAAATATTAGGTGGCAGTGTGATCTCAAATGTAATACTTTCAAAGCTGCACAAATTTTAATTAGAATGAGCAAGATGTGCTTTTGACGTTATAATTCGCTTCGCTTCATGGAAAACTGAACTGGCCCAGGAGTTGACTGGAATTGAAAACTCGATTCAAGAATTTGAAGTTTTGAAAGGAAGGAAAGGCTTCTCAATAATTATTCCATCTAGTTAGACGATTGATGGGTAGGATGAGACCAGCAAGGTGATGAAGTCCAGGAGGGCTTGGAGTGCAGATAATGTTCGCATAGCTTAGTAAAGTTGGTGGGTTACGGTATCACAGACAAAATGAACAGGAATAAAGTGGCTGAATGAATGAGTTGTCTTGTTGGTGTTTGGTCCCTTTTGGAAAGTGATGACGATTTGAGTCGTAGAGTTGATTTGACTTTGCAGAGTAATGTTTGTATTTCGCATATTTATGGATTTGTAGGCCCTGGTGAATCATTATCTCGCAAGATGTACCAGGCTATTCCACGGTGTTCTGCTTCAAGTACATTGATTCGTATATTTCGGTGGTGTAACATAAGACGATGCTATTCACCCATGTTTGTTGAAACAGCGTCAACGGAGATATCGAAACCGAAAGACAGCGAATTGCAAAAAAGGAAAGATCCAACAATGCTTGAGGTTTTGTTTGTCTACGTAAACATACGATACAATACACTTTGGTAGGTAAAAGTTTAAATTTGATAAAGTGGAACAAAGACTAGAGAAGAAAATGACCGCTAGTGTAAAAGATATTTTACAAATTTACGGTTAATAAACATTTTTCGCTGAACTCGTTGCATGGACATTGCTGGTGATTCAAAATGAATGTATATGAAAAAAAGCGAATGATATAAAGGTGAAAGGGAAAGATATGTCGTATCCCAGCGGTTAATGAAATCTTTCCTTCATCAATATTTTTCAGGAAGTCGATATTAAGAGTTTACCGAGAGCAGAAAGAAGACATGTGGAGGAATTTTTAAAGATGAGCGAAACAAGAGCAGTTGCTATGAAAAAATTGAGCTATAAGGTGAGTGGAAGATCGTAAAGCGTATTTTTTCTAGCTGAAATTGAAATGGAGTAGTAATATTGATGAATTAATTGTAAAGGTCATTTAATTCCTTCCAAATTAATCTAATGATATTAGACTCAATCTAATGATATTAGAGGTAAGTGGCAAAGTAGATTAGAAGTCTGTTTCTTATTAGGAAGGTTAAGATTTAATTCCGCTTTGGTTTTAATGGATGTATTCGAATTGTTGTAGTTTACTGTTCACTTATGACCACCACTTACCAATTTTTCCATACCATGATTGACATAAAGATTTACTCTTCCTCTAGAACGAAAAAATGAAATGAAACGGTAAGGAAAAGATGAAGTTTTGTAATAATTCATTATTTCCAATTGTTTGTCATTTTTTGCTTCTGTCTTGCAGAATTTGGCTACGTTTTTTGTGCTTTTTGGTTTGGCAATGGGAGTTTATACATACACATATAGTGGACTTAAGCAAGAAACTTTCCTAGAAGAAATTGATAAAGAGGTGGCAACGGAATTAGCCGAAAAAACAAAAGAAGATTGAACGTAAATATGTGTTGTCGAACGAAAGAATTTATTCTTTCATATATCATTTGAGCTTTATAAACTTCTTAAAAAACATTTTCTACACATAATTCAAGTGTTCATGATTTTCATTATTAAATTAGATATAATAATATGTTATGAAAAGGCGTGGCATATATTAAATCACGTAACATATAATGACATAGTATGAATGGGATTTCATTTTTATTTTGTTCGGTTTTTCTAAGTACTTTTATTCATTAGCATGGTAACGTCTGTCGATAGATATTTCGAGAAAAATAGTTTTGAATAACTGCCGGTGTTGAAGATAAATTCAATTAATTATTTATTTTGCGGCTGTTTTTATCAACACAAATCTTACAACATATAATACAACATATAATAGTGCTGCTTCTCACCATAAAGAAATTAATTTTGAAGTGGATTTCCTCCCCATAGTGCGTGGAAATTTCGAGATCTATGCTTCACATATTATCGTGTTTTGTGAAATTATAGGATTTCCAAATGTCCATACAGTAAGAAAGAGTGATTGAGATTCTGGATAATTGCTGAAATCAACTATTGTGTCATGGCTTGTTCATCTGGTGAGATACAATACATGTTTAGTGGTCTTCTGAAAAGTTAATCATTCGATAAATCCTTCCAGTCGCCTGATGAGTAGTTCCATATAACCAATGGAAGGCTTTATTTGCCAACCAAAACCAATAAAAATTCCTTGGAACTTGGTAGAATCGTGGAACACACGTCTTTGCTGCTAAAAGTCATTCTGTCCACAAAATCATATAAATAAAAATGAAACATGAATGATCACAGTACACAACTTCTTCTTGTGCGGGCCTAGGATCCGTTATAACGAGCACGATTGACGACTAACATTCATAGAAAAGAATGTCATATCACCCATTTCAATTAATTTTAGTAGCTCGAAGTTTCTGCTGCAAGAACAACACCAGTTTAAACACCTGGCATCTGGCTGAGTAGCGCTGATCAAAATAAACGGAAACTTACTTTTTTCATGAGCATATAGGGAAACTTTTGCGCTTCCTCTTGCATCCTTTTCACAATCTCCCACCAGAATTTGTAGACGCAGTGATGTCACTCTTGTTTCGACTATTTATAGTAAATTGTTACTGTTCATTGATTTACGTCCTTACGCCACCTGTAAGCCGTATGGCGCAAACAGTTGAAATCGTTTTCCCATAGGAGTATAGTTCCAATAAATGTTCTCTACCTCGGATTGGGTTCTCGGCAATGATTTTATATACAGATTTTATATGCTAGATTTTATATCCATTTTACTTCTTAACCTTGTAAATTAGTCAGTGTTGTTGCATATAAGAAGTTACCAAGTAACGGGTCATTTTGAGATAATCAGAACAGAGCAACACAAGAATGTAATTCAAGAGATGGGAAGATGAAGAGAGCTCCTTCCCTTTCCTCTCCTACTAATCACTATTTTGATTGTAATTGTGATCCTTTTCTAAATAACACTGTCAATTAAACTGGATTCAGAAGAGAAAGGAAATGAAAAGTACAACATACACGATAGAATTAAAATAATTTACAGGTCTAGATTTCCATTCTCCCTCCCCCTCCATATACAAACTTATTACAATTAACTAGAGAAAGAGAGAG